CAGCTTTGAAAAACAACATTTTTACTTTTTCCTTGTGGTACGGGTGAATGTGGTAAATAAAATAATGCGGTACACTGCAAAGTTGCTAAGGATAAGTTTCAAAAGTTCTCACCGTGAAAAACGATGAGCGTTTGGGTGGTAGATAGGTTGATTAGGCTCCGATAATTACTCCACGTTACATTCCTCGATCACAGCGCCACTTTGCACTCTACAGAAATATTTCCATGATCTGTCATCTCACAATAAGAAGTGGGATTCATATAAATATCAGAAGCACAGGAAAAGCAAAAAGAGAGACACAACAGACAACTTGATGACAACCCATCTTACAACTCTGATAAAATGGACTGAATCACCCAGGGACACCAAATAGAAAACTCACAAGAGAAACAGGCACCCAAAGAGTTCTACTAGAGAAACAGTAAATAATCAACAACTGCCCCAAAGAGAAACCCCACGCCCAGACAGAGTTACTGGTGAAAGCTTCCGTACATTTAAGAAAGAAATAATTTTATTTCTGCACTCTGTTCCTCAAAATAGGAGCAGAGAGAAGTCATTCTAACCAGGACACCAGAACCACACAAAGAAATTACAGGGGAAGAAACAAAATGAAACAAACCGGTTGGTGTGTCTCATTACAATGGGCACGAAGTCCTCCAGAAGGGACCAGGAAGCGGTACCCAACAGTAACAGAAAGGAGTCAAACACCACAAAGAAGAGGAATTTATTTCAGGCTGGAAGACTGGCTTCACGTCCAAATATCCACCAGAGTAATTCATATCAATAAGCGACAGGAGAAAAATGTAATCACATAAACTGGCACAGGAAAAACTTTACAAACCCAACAACAAGCTACGACTTAAAGAAAAAGAAAATAAATAACCTCTCAGCAAATGATAAGTGAAGGAGAGGCTTCTCAGTTCGATGAATATATAAAAAAGTAGTGAGAAACAAGATGTTTTCTCTGTGATCAGGAAGGGGCAAGATATACACACACATGCGTGCACACACTTCCTTCCACAATGGACCACGGCCAACTGAAAGAGCTCTGCTAGCCAAAGGAAAATGTGAGCAACAAAATAAAATAATAGTGGATTACAACCCAAAGTATATAACATAAATACCCAGCTGCCTGCCTTGAAAAACATAAATAATCAATGTTGTTGAATAAGTTAGTGAGGGAAATAAACAAACATCACTTACGGATTCCCAGTGGCCCGCATGACCCTTCTCCCAGGGACAGGGTGGCCCTCCCTGGGATGAGAGCTGCGGAGAGCACTTCCTCCCACTCAGGACCATTAGGGGCGGGTCCTCGGCCACCAGGGGGATGGCACCCAGCACCCAGCCAGGCCACAGTGTCAACATGGCCGGGCTGTAGGTACTGGTGACAGGAAGAGTGGAAAGGACAGAAGATCCCAGCCGAGCACAGGCCCCAGACACTGGCCTGGGAGCTGCAGACAGCCCGGCCATCAGGAGCTCCTCTCTGCAGTCCCAGCAAGAACACACAGGAGGCAGATGCCCAAGCGTCATGTGGATTTCTGTGCAGGACCCTCCAAGGGTGTGCTCCAGTGCTGACACCGCTCTGTGTGCTGGCTTTGACTTACAAAAACGAACCCAGCCAAGCCACATTCAGACGATCGCCATTCAAGTTTAGAAGTTCAAAGTCCGTCTAAGACCATCACATCGCTCCCCAAAGCTCAAAAGTCCTCCACAGTGACACCAGGCATCCTCTGATGCCCTTCCCACCTGCCCAAACTCACTCTGGCCCTGTGACGGATTTGCACCCCACCCCTTCCTCTCTCCTCTATGAGTCAAATCTCATCTTCACAAGTAAGCCTCCCTCAGGGTGACCTGTTCTCTGAGCTGTCTCAAACCTGATCTCAGTGCTCAACAAACCCCTGGACATCACACACTTAGAAAGGAAGTGGCCCCGCCAGGGGCACCCACTCCTCACCAAGCAACACCACCATTTCTTCCACTCAGCAGAGCTGCCAGTGCCCCCACTCTGATTTCACAAAAGCCACGGCTCACCTGAGCTTTGTGCTGCCACGCCAGGCCCCACCTGAACTCTCCGAGCTCTTGGGAGATGGAGCTAATGCTGCACAGACCCTGGGCTCCAGCCTCGGTTCCTATCTGAGGACCAGAATTCCTTTGGAGTGGAAGAACGGGCCGAAGCTCTAGACAAAGAACCGCTCGAGTGCTCGTCTTCCCCAGACCAGGGCCGGGTGATCAGAGACCCGGGATCCTTTGAGCTCCACACTCTGTGGGCGAGGGGCGCTGTGGGCAGTGTGAGCTGTTCCCTTGAAGGTAAACCCGCTCTGAATTTAAAAGGGGTTCTCAGAGGTCTAAGGAATGAAAGTGTTGTTTGCCTCTTCAAATTTTTGCTCAGAAGACAGGAGCAGCAGGACAGAAGAGGATTTAGAGGATGACAAACAGCCCCAGACGGGTTTTCTTGTTCTCAAAGGGACACACACGCAGAGCTATTTTTTAAAAACCATCTTTTCTTGTAACTTGGCTCCTGCAGCAGAGCCACCCTCCCAAGCCCTGAATGCCCAGTGTGGTGTCCCCGAGATCACAGGCCCTTGGATAAGATCCAGGGAGCGTTGTGGGACTGGGCTGGCCACCACCAACCAGAAACCCAGACTTCAGGGGCAGCCTCGGAGCTGGCTCTGGACCACGGACAGCTCCCTCTAGAGGAGCCTGGCTTGGTCTGTGCTCCATCCTCCAGGGCCACAGCCTGTGGGCAAGGAGCCTGGGCCAGCTGTGTCAGCCCTGCCTTGCAACAACCCAGACTGAGAGTCACACTCACAGAGAAAAGCACCGGGCCACTCTGTGGTCCTCCGGGTCATTTACAGCAGGCGGCCAGCACAGGCAGGCCCATGCTCATTCCAAATATCTGGAAGCCAGGCTATGCTGGTGTCAAACTGACTTCTTCTGGAAAGATCTGCAGTTTGATTATTTTCCAATTATGGGAATTCAAACTACTAATAATATTGCCAGGTCTAAATTTACTTCCAGCTGTCTTCCAAAACAGCTAAGATTCATTCCCAATTGGAGCGCTTTAAGGACACAACAAGCTTCCAGTTAATGCATGCTCTAAGAAACAGTGCCCCTCTGCCCAAGGTTGAAGAGTCATGAGATGTCAACCTCATCATTACCCAGAAACCAGACTCTGTGCCTTCGCTGACGTTTAACCCACAAGTTTTGCAGTGCCAAACTTGCCCCCAGCTCTCTCTGACTTCTCACTGACAAACTCTGGATGAACACTCCTTTGCTCTTCATCAGTGCTGCCCCTCCTGGCTTTGACGCAGCCCCCAAAGGCAGATGGTTCCGTGCATTTGCCATGAATCTGCCCAGGCTGAGCTCCTGGGAAAGCAGGTTTCCTGGGTTCTGTACTGGGTGTTTCTGGAGGATGCTGCCTTTGGACCATGGTGCATCTATTTCCTGTTCCCAGAAAGTGGTGGGATGAGAAAGTTTTAGTGAAGCTCAGCACCACACAAACTGTTTCCAAACCCGGCCGGATGTGTTGCTCATCCCCTGGGAGCCACAGCTTCTGGATGCTGGTTTTCACCCAGGTCCAGGCCCTCGACCGTCACTGGTCGTGAACACGAAGGCAGTGGATAAGAGGGGAGGTACAGACAACGTTTGCTTATGCAGAACCTTGGGTTTCTAGGCATGGTTTCTCTGCAGAAGCAGCCAACTGCTCGAAGAATGTTACAGAAGTCTGTCCAACCTGGAAAAGCAGAATGCACAGCTCGCAGACCGCTGGAGGACCTGCGAGCAGATGCAACATGTTCCAATTTCCAGAGTGGGACAGGACGCGCTTTCAAAGGCTCAGTCCGCAGATGTGTCCATGGGCCCTACATTTCCAGCTAATCAGGGGCGCATCCAGCCTTGCCAGAGGGCTTTCCTCACCAGCCTGAGCTGAGCGCAATCACAGATTAGTGTTGTTCATTAGTGTCTGCTTCTTAGTTAAAATGAGAGAGGAATTCTGAATACTGGGTCACAGTCGACAAGCCCTACACATGTAAGGCACAAGCGAAGTATGACTCTTGTCCTCAGAGCCACCTGCCCCTTCACAAAGCATAAAGGAAGCAGCAGGACAAAATCAGCTGCATCTGTGCAACCCATATTGAGGGGGATGAGAGAACAGATCGGTATGGGATGAGCTTTTAAAATTCACACGTAAAATGTGTCTGGCATGCACACCTATTTTCAGGGGTAGCAACACAATTTTTATTGTGTTGCACTGCGGTTAGACTGTTGTGCTGTACGCAGTGTTAGGACATTCTCAGTCAAGCAAGAATGCTTTCCTAAATAGCTGTTAGACTCAAACTTACTGCATTTAAAATAAAACTATTTAATGGAAATGCAATCACACCAAGGCAAATACCTCCTCTCATATATTATATTCCAAGGAGAAATATAGAATATGCTTTCTCAAGCACACAGTTCTTATTTTAAATGCCTTGTCTTTGGGATATTCTTATGTAATGTAAGATATTCGAGAAGTTCTACTCCATATTCTTTGCTCTTTGTGCTCTTTTATTTTTATAACACTAAACTCTATTTCCAGGGAGAAGTAACACAGTAACTTTGAGGTCGGTACAACATTCTACTTAGCGCTCGCATGTTCAGAATAGATTCGAAGTTGGAAACCCATCTTCTCTGCCCTCTCTGAGGACTGCTGCAATCTTGTCTGCAGTCTCACTGCCAATGGGAAGCAGGCAACTCCCCAGAGCTGGGAGGCAAGCTGGGCAGCCCAAAACTTGTGGGTTAAACGTTAGCGAAGGCACAGGGATCACAAGCATCCCCACCTGCTCTGAGGTGTCTGGGGAATCTGTGAACACAAGTATTTTCACAACCAAACTGCCAGCCCAGGAAGATGGAGCTGGCCTATGTGTGGCCCTGGGAATGGAGAAGGGGAGATTTTGCAGGTGGGTCCTGTAGTGCCGCCCGCCTGGCACAGGTGCCCCAGGCTGCCGCCAGGGCCGGCTTACCTCAGCGTGAAGCGGTCCTCCGTGCAGTTTCTGGAGACGGAGACAGGGAAAGTCAACACATCACCCTGGTGAGCCGTCTTGGGGACGTAGTGCACGGCGACGTTGCTGTCCAGGCGCAGCTCCTTCAGGGCTGGGCTGCTGTGGGTCTGGTAGAGGTAGACGCTCCCAATTCTGTGCAAGGGTGGCCCGGACTCCTCGATGTCACTGTGACCCGTCCGCACGCTGCTGCTCCCCCATGGGTCCTCCTGGGAGCAGTCCCCATGCACGTCCCCGGGCTGCACGGAGTAGTACAGCTCCACGGGGCTCCCCTCTGGCTGCTCCGCCGGCTTCCTCCTTCCAGCCACCACCGTCGGAGGGCCGAACCAGCTGGCCAGAAGCTCCAGCTCTGCCACACACAGCCCCAGGGCCCCGCCCAGCTGGCAGCTGCCCTGCACCTGGCGAGTCTCCCGGAAGGCGAAGACACGCAGGCAGGGCAGCCTCTCCGTGGGCCGCGGCTCATCCCAGGCCCGGCCCAGCAGGTGGAAGAGGACCTGCACCTTGGGGCGGCTCGGGTAGATCTTGTCGCGCAGGATGGAGGCCTTCAGCTTCCAATTCAGGGAGAACGTGTTGGTGAAGCCGAAGGGGTTGGTGGGCAGCATCAGGTCCTGCGGCACCACCTGCTCGATGGAGAAGGGCCCATAGCTGGCATTGAGCGCCGGCAGCTGCTTGGTTTTATAGATGAGGAAGGATTCAACCCTGGACTGCAGGCTGGAGTTGCGCATGATGTCCTGATTGGCCTCCTTCAGGAAGAAGGACACGTCAGCATTGTTGATGTGGTAGGTGACCGGGAGGTAGGTGGGCAGCAGGGAGAACCTCTGGATGCTCTCAAGGATGCCCCGGCTCTCGGTTACTGTCAAGAGGCAAGGGGAGTTCGGGGTCAGTATCTCTGGGCTGCCGCCCTACCCCGGGCTCCCCAGAGCCCCTTCCTGACCCTGACCAGCGCCCCAGCCCTGCGCCAGTGACGCCCTTCTTCACCCACCATCCCCCGTGCTCACCTACCCACTGCTATGGAACACAGGCGCCAAGTACAGGGTGAGCATCTGTGTAGAAGAAATGAACGCCACTAATGTAAGCAGGAAACCTGGTCTTCCAGGGTCACCCAAAGTCCAAGTTCAGCACGCAAGAAAAGAACACTCAAATGCAAGTCTCTTTAAATGCGTGGTAACAGGCAGTGTCTGCCAGGGGTTAAAGAAGGGACAGGTGAGCACCCAAAAGGTGCTCTCACCTACTGCCCACAAAGGGGCCTCAGAGCCAGCCCAGCGAAGCCTCCCACACGGCCCAGGGAGGGTTGGGATCCCACCGACGCAGGGCGCACATGTGGCCTGCACAGATGCCTGGCCAGGGAAGGGCAGGGAATGGGGCCAGGAAGCCAGAGCTGGCCAGCGCTTCCTGTGGAGCTGGGCGCTGGGCAGCGGTGGCTCTGGAAGGGCATGTGGGGAAGGCCCCCAAGGCGACAGCTGCACTCGCCACACCAGTCACCCGGGACAGCCTCTCCCTCCCCCATCCTGTCGCACCCACCTCCCATGCAAACTGTGCTGTTGCTGATGGACAGAAACATCTTTCTCTGTTGCTCACTGAGCCAGTCCTTCCCGCAATGGAGGAAAGAAAAGGGATCCAAAACGTTATTTTTATAGTTTGCCTTACATTGTGTAAGAAAAACACAGACAGAGGAATTGCATAACGCAAAGGACCAATTTAACCGGGTTTAGAAATGGAAGCCGTGGTGGTGGGCGCTCACATTCCCGGCAGAGTTCCATGGAGGGCGGCACCGGTGCCCGGCTGCCCTGGCGGCCTGTGCCATCCACTCCAACGGCCTCACAGTCGCCACCCCGCATCCGGACCTCTCAGCTCGTGCCGGGAGCACAGAGACAGCAAAGGACTGAGGCTGGGTCAGGTTCCCGGTACAGCTTGCAGGCAGCCAGAGAGTCTTGGGGCCTCGCCCTCCAGGGCTCGGACACTGCAGGTGCTCAGCTAGACAGAAGCCAGTGTGACAGGCACGTGTGCTCCCGGGTTGGGCACTGCTCCAAGTGGTGACATCTCTCAAGCCAATGTCGTTACCTAGCACAGGGCAGCTGAGCCACAGTGGGATGGCAAAGGCACATGTGCCCATGGCGAGCAGTTCTGATGGACCTGCAGCAGCTGCAAAAGGCACAGCCTTCAGGGTCCGGACTTCCACTTCCACAACACAACTGTGTGAGTGCAACAGGAGACTCCCCCACAGTCACACTCTGACTTCCAGGACTCAGCCCTACCTGGTGTCCTCTAAACTTGCATTTCTAACTGCTTTAGGGAAAGCAGAAGTGATGGTGGACTTCCTGCTGATGTCCAGTGTTGGAGCTCGAAGCCTCATCCTTCTCTGGGGTCCCCTCCCCGTTGCCCATGGGCTGCATCATGAACACCCCGTGGGTGGGGCAGCACATGGCCCTTGCTCTCCACAGTACCCACAGCCCTGAAGACCAGCACCCAGCCAGCACTAGGCAGTCGATAAACATTTCATAAACAGGAGAGGGAAGGGACGCAGGAGGAAGGATGCACGATGGCTCAGAGCACAGAATGCGTTCTGCACCAGGACTGGCTGCACGCCTGGCCCTCTGTGTGACTGGAATCAGATCCCTGATCCTCTTTTTCCACTAAAAGCCCATGTAATCCACTGTGGGCCAGAGTGAGAGGACCCTCGTGCAGGGAGGGACTCCAGATGCATGGTCACCTGAGGGTCAGCCGCTCCTCCTAAAATGCCCACACAGCCGTCCCACCAACATGCCAATGCCCAGTGGCTGGACAGTCATGGCAGTGGTGACCTCTGGAGACCAGGGCCGGGACTCCCTGCCGAGTACCAGAGCCCAAACTCAGGACAGAACTTAACTGTGTAGCTAGCTCATGGCCTCAGCTCCACTGCACCAGCTCGTGGGGTTTATGCAGGGAGGCAGCAGGCAGCCACGTGCACCTGGTCTTGTTCACTCCGCCCAGCGACCCCACTTGGGAACAGCTCACTGTGCGGGGAGGGAGGGCTGCAGAGTCAGGAGGCGGGCGGCGCACACACGGGTGACCTGGGACAGCACCGATGGAGGCCACACAGGGTCCAGATGAGGCACGTGAGCTCTTGTCCTCCATCTGCCTGCACCTCCAGGACTCTGGCCTCAGGAAGCCTGGGACTGCTGGGGAGGTCTGTGCCATGCTCGGTACAAGGTGAACCCTGAAGCTGGAGAAGTAGCAAGGAGGTAAGCATGCAGGGGAGATGCACAGACATGCATGTGCTTCTGTGACCCACAGTGAGGAAGCGGGCACATAGCCAGTCAAAGTTGCTCCACCTCTAGATCCAGGATGTGCCCTCCATGTTTCCAGACCGCTCCTGCACCAGGGTCTTTGCACAGGCTCCTCCCAGCCCATGCAGAGTGAGCGCTGAACCCCATCTCCGCCAAGGGTGTCCCGAGAGCCCTCCCTGCCCCTGAAGGCGCCACCCAGACTCTGCACAGCAGAAACAGTCTTTGCGTCTGTTTCCTTGACTGACCCCAATCCCTCCTTGGCAGAGCCTAGGAGGCGGAGACCGGGTCTGTCCTCAGGACTCGCTGAGAGGGACTGAGCGGAAAGTCAGTGTCGGGACAGAACCGGGCTGGCCTGGAGCAGAGCCACACACGGTGGGAGTGTCAAGGGGCCCTGGTGTGTGGCGGGGCAGGCGGGGTCACACCCCTCAGTCACAGTGCACCTGGGAGGCCTTAGGTGCTCACACTTGCTCCCACACACACGCACGCTGGGAGACACCAATGCACTCTTCAGCTGTTGTGGTCCTCTCACATGGCACGCATTTTTGGAAACATATTCAAGTGTTATTCGCCAATAACAGAAAAACAGGAGACATTTAAGAAAGGAGAAGCCACGGGCTCAGTGAGAGGACAGGGAAGGAAGAGCCTGTGGCTCCCAGTGCCCTGACCCAGGCCTCGCGCTGTGCACCCACCATGCTCCCATGTGCACGGAAAGGACTTCATTAAGTTGTGTCACATTAAAACTAGCCAAGTGTCACAGCTCATAAATTTTGCAAATTGTTTATATTAATCTTTAATTTGTTCGGGGATTAGGCAGTTGTAGAAGAAACACAAACAACTTTTCTCCCCTCTCCATTTTCCGAGGGCCAAATCATTTGGTGATCTACTCACGATACCTTGGTTCCCAAAGAGGATGAAGAAAGCATGGTGCCGGGATTCTCGCTGCTCATCCCAGCATGGGCAGGAGGCTGAGGCGCGGGGACTATAAGTTCAAGCCCAGCCTGGACAATTTAACAACTTAGGGAGACTTTATCTCAAAATTTAAAAAATAAATAAAGGGCTGGTAGGCAGCTCAGTGCAAAGGTCCTGGGTTCAATCTCCAGTACAGCAAAAAAAGAAAAGAAAACGAGGGGAAGAAAGTTGGGAGGAAAGGGAGGATGGGAGCAGATGCAGCAGGAAGGGGTCAAGAGCAGCTCTGCTGGCTGGGAAGCTGGCCCGTCCCTCTCACCAGCGACAGTAACTCGGCGCCTTCTGGTTCACATGCACTCAACTCAGTTCAGGGAAGGTGCACCCCAGGAAAGCGTGACTTGGGGCTGCCCACCAGGCCAGCGTCCTCAGCTCCAACTGCTGCTTCCAGCTCCTCTGACTGTCCAGGCCGTGACTGCTCTGTGCATCTGAGCCCATGGAAGCCACAGCCCAGCATCACACACAGCTTCTCCCAGACTGATCTTATCAGGACCCAGGGAGAAGCTGGGCCCTCTGGGCCCAGCACCCGGCCACACCACCCCCTGCACCCAGCAGGCTCTGCAGCCAGGCCTGCACAGCACCCAGGACCTGGCCACCTGGGAACAGCAGGTGCAGCTGAGGAACAGCCGGGGGCAGCAGGGGACAGCAGCGACAGCCAGGGGCAGCAGGGGCATCCAGCTGCACAGCTAGGAAGCACGACACCCCCTGACATCCCAGTCCTGAAGCCTTGGTTCGGCAGAGGGCCTGGCAGGGAGGTCGGGTGTCTGGGATGCCACTGTAGCCGGGGTCCCCTTACAGACGGGAGAGGGAGGCGAAGGGTCCCGGAGGCCCTAACTGCTGAGAGAACATCAGTGCCTGTGGCCCGACAGAACCCAGCGGGGAAGCCGTCCACAGTCACAGCACAATCTGGGGACAGCACACAGTCGGGGGCACCGCCAGGGCTGCAACCAACACACAAGGGCTCTCTGAGTCCCGGTCTCATGGAGCCAGCACCTATCACTGGGTGGGCTCTGTCCACCCCAACAAGGGGCAGCGGTACAGTTCCCAGCCTGAACAACCGTGCAGGGCAGCCCTGAGGGAGGTGTGCCATCCTCACCGTCCTGCCCCAATGAAGCGAGGACCCCCCTGCCACATCCCAGGGGGAGCACATATGCACCTGTCACCTGCTCCTCCAGTGGACTCCTCACCACCCCTGTGTACACTGGACGGCCTGTGCCACCAGTTTAGTCTGTACCTCAGGCAGGAGCCCACCCAGGGGTTCCAGAGCCCTGCCTGCCAGTTTCTCTGCTTGTGTTAAAACACAAAATCTGCATCTAAGCAGCTTAAGGTGCAGAGTGTATTTAACTTCTGAACCTGAAAGCCCAGAAATACACTCAGTGCCCCAGCCGCAAGGCCCGGGCAGTGGCTCAGTGGGGTGGCTCACTCCTGCTAGAGGCCGAATCGCCTCAGCAATGGCCTCCATTCTCACAGCACCCGGCCCCTACTGCCCCCATGGATCACAGTCTGGGACATACAACCACCAGGCATAGTTGTTCAGGCTGTGAACTGCACAACTGCCCCCTTGTTGGTGGTGAGGACGCAACCTCTGGACATGGGGAGGAAAAGGGAGCTCAGCTGTCCTGGGCCGCCACTCCCTGGGCACAGGGACAGGGTGGCTGTGGGGGCCTCAGCCAAGTGCACAGCAGGCAGCAAAGGTGAATACCGAGGGTCCCAGCCCACCACACTGGGCTCTCTGGCAGGGATGAAGCCTGGGCTCCCATACTAAATCCACAGCGACTCCAGACTGCAGTGGGGCCAAGGGCTCCGCGAGCCCCTTCCTAGGACTCCTGTTATGAGAGTGGCCATCCCACAATGGTGACTGAGGCTCAAGTCTGAAGAAACACAAAGGAGAAGCCAGACTGGCGGGAAGCACAGATGGACAGCTGCTGAGGGGCGCAGCCCAGCATCAGGAGAGCTCGGGCAGGCTCTGGGCAGGGCCAGCACTCGGACAGCAGCCTTAAGTCCTCGTGTTCAGGATGCCTGGAAACAGCTCGCTTGGCAGAGCAAACCAAGGAGGAGCCGTGAGCCCCTGAGCCCCAAACACGGCTGCCCTGGTCCATATCTCTCCCACTGATGGCCAGGCAGGCTGGAGGCTGAGCTCCTCTGACCACAGGCTAGAGACCTCACCAGAGTCTACCCGGGCCTCAGTGATGGCTTTAGTTCTACTCCCCTCCATTCCTGTTTCCCCCACCCCGCTAACAGACAGGATCTTGCCATGCAGCCCAAGTTGGCCTAAACTCACTAAGTAGCCCAGGCTGGCTTTGCATTTGCTGCAATCCTCCTGCCTCAGCCTATGGATGTATACCACCACACCT